CGGCGCTGTTTTGCAGCAACGAGTAGCCGACACATGGCAGCCCTTAGCGTTTTTCTCCAAACGCCTACAACCTACCGAATCTCGCTACAGCACGTTCGGTAAAGAACTACTAGCCGTATATCTAGCGATACGTCACTTTCGACACGTCTTAGAAGGCCGCTCCTTTGCCGTCTTCACCGACCACAAACCCTTGACTTACGTGCTCGGCTCGACTACCGACCGATACTCGCTAGAAAGTCGCGCCAACATGGCTATATCGCTCAGTTACACGAATACGACAGTCTCAGATGTGCACAATGCCGTCGCCGACGCACTTTCCCGCACCCAAGCTATCTCCGCTGACGCCGGCACTGCTTTCGCATTGGCAGCCATGGCCACAGCGCAACTCAATAATCCTTAGGTTGGCTACTACGCAGGTCTCCCTCATGGGACATGCGACCCGTTCCGCTGACATCATCCGACGGAATTATGCGATTTATCTCTGGGCACGCCGCGCCTAGTCGTTCCACGCGAGTTTTGGCAGACCGTGTTCGACACGTTGCACGGCTTGTCTCATCCAGGCCTTCGTGCATCGGTTAAACTCGTAACCACACGGTTCATCTGGCGCAATCTCAATCGCGACGTTCGTACTTGGGCAGCTGCTTGTCTTCAGTGTCAACGCGCAAAAGTTCATAAGCACACGAAAAGCTCAGTAGAAACATTTCTCACGCCAGATGCACGTTTTCACTACGTACGCCTCGACCTCGTAGGTCCTCTGACGCCTTCGAAAGGCGCTGTATATCTACTGACCTGTGTCGATCGATTCACTAGGTGGCCGGTAGCTATTCCCATACCTAACTGCTCTTCGGAAACGGTAGCGGAAGCTTTTCTGGAGTGCTGGGTAGCTGAATATGGCTGTCCCGCCATCGTGACCACCGGTCGAGGATCACATTTCTCGTCGACTTTTGCCACGTTACTTAAGGATGTAGGTTGTCGCGAAGTTCAGACGTCGGCGTATCATCCAGCCGCTAACGGCCTGGTGGAGCATTTTCACCGCCAGTTGAAGGCCGCCCTACGTGCGCGCGCAGATCCTTCATGGTCTGAAACACTTCTTCTCATTCTCCTATGCTTAAGAAACACTGTTAAACACTGATTTTGACTCAACACCAGCGCAGCCAGTCTACGGTTGCACGCTGCAATTGCCCGGACAGCTAGTAGCACCAGCCCCGTCTACTTCCTCTATTGACGCTAGAAGTTACACTGATCGATTGGCTCACCAGATGCATGAGCTACGTCTACTCGCTCCTCGATCGCAGCGGACACCAGTGTACGTGCCTGAGAAGCTGTCGACGTGTTCACACGTCCTTCTTCTCGCAGACGGTGTTCGACAGCCTCTTCAGTCGCCGTACATAGAACCTTTCAAAGTGCTACACCGTGCGAATAAGAGGTTCTCTATTGACCGCAGATGGCCGACGCGAAGTCGTCACCATCGATCGTCTGAAGCCTGCCTTTATGGAAGAAACCACCTCCCCTACTTTGTCTTGTAGTGCTTCAAGCGACGTCACAACCCACCGCACCAACTTTCAGCACCCTAGTTTAGTTCAACCAGACTGCGATCCCGGTCTAAAAGCATCAGTCTTCCCGACATCACTCGAATATACCCCGCCGCCTCCCACGACCAACCGCCGTTATCGGGACGTGCGTAAGCCGGTTCGTTTCTCTGACTGTGTACAGTATAAATACGTTTAGCTTTGTAGATATTGTATCTATTTGCCCCGTTTATGGTCGATTAACGTTTTGAAAACAAACAAAAATATCAACAACCCCTAATAACCTTTTTCATTTTTTCAAAAGCCAAAAAATCTAAACACGCAGATCATTCGTTCGTTCTTTCTGGATTTTTCTGCGCGTGCTTTTCTATTTTCTTGCCTCTACATGCCCCAACTCTCCTTTTCGATCGGCTGGCCCACACGAGCAATGTTTTCGAGGATCGGCGTAGTCAACGAGGATCCTGACGCGAACGCTGGTCATTTCTCCGCGGGATGAGGGTCACTTCTTCCTGGGACAATGGTCGTTTTCTCCGTTGGACGAAGGTCATTTTGGCGTGGGGTGGGATGCGGCAGGGGGAGAGACCACTCCCAAGCGCACCGTTTGGCAGCAGCGGAGCTTGAGGTCCTCTCGGCCTTTTCTGGGTTAGCCAGTTTTTTGTTGTCCAACAAGCCCCGCTCCAACGGCTCGCCGAAATGCACCCTGCCCTGCAATCAATAAATAATAAATCACAAACGGCACAGCGGACTCCGACCTCCGGTGAATCCCTTTTTGACCCGAACGCCCGCTCACTCGGCAAGATTTGCCCAACAAACTTCGATTCACCCGTCATTTTTCAACATCGAAGGCTTCTTTTGTTCAGCCTTCTAGGGGGAGAGCTCTGTAGCGCCCCCAAAGATAACTAGTATCTTTTGTGTACAATTTCGCTGATGACCAATTGTACATTATTCTTTCTTATCTTAATATCCCTTTTTACTATCCATGTTGACCTACATCCGTTGACCGTCTTTTAAATTCCCGCGCTCACGTGTTTGCTCTTGTCTCTCTTCATCCGTCCGCGTCTCCTTGTAGCCCATCAAATACAGTCCGCTGTGTCCGACTCCAATTGCCTTCTGTTATCCGCGCATAATTTTGCGCACCGTCTCCTACAATGCCGGGCGTTTGGATGGTGGCGAACGAGCCAGTAAACCTTGAAACAGTAGTTACCATCAGTAAAACTGAACCAATCGGGGAGCCGCAATATTTCGGATATTTTTAGTCCTCATGGCATAAATTGCTCTGATTTCCTCAGGCTCTTGGTGTCATTGTCTAAGGATTACTGCAAGCACTAATTGATACCACTGCATTCTTGATGCCAAGATACACAAGGCAATAAGTGTAGGTTACTTACTTCAAAGCAACATGAACACCGTAAACATTTCTGCACCCTTAACTAAATGTGTTACTTTAAACTGGTCTGACTTAACAGGAAGAATTTCATTATGTGCAACCTCGTTCCAGGCATTGAGCACTGTGGTGCTGTTTATGCAGTTGTCAATGCCGTAAGGTGTCTGCTTTTGTCGCCTGAAGTCCGGCAGATTTGCCGAGGCAGCCCCGTCTTTCTCTCGCGTCGGTCGCTACCAATGCAGCTACCAAGCTTGGTAAGTTGTTCAGCTGCCTCCAGTTTCTCTTTATGAAGAGACCGATAAAACCTGCATTGACACTTACCTCCTTGAATATGCGAAGCACGTAACCAAGTACGGAACCGATCTAAAATTTTTGTTTGGGTTTGATTGCTCTACTATGCGATTCTCAGGCATGAAGGGGATTTCATCCACATAATCCAGAACAACTAGTTTTTCTCCAGAAACCTCCTCAATAGCTGCATCGTGGGACCCCAGTATGAAATGTTCATGATGAAGTCGGTGGCAAAAACTAACACCATTTGCTGTCGAAGGTGCAAAATCCAACCGCTGAGGATGCTTTCTACTTGCTGATTCCAAGAGAGGTCTATCCAAGATCCCTTATTTCCCATATTTGACCTAGTTGTCTGTCCCGCATGTCAATTCATAGGACGTCCAACTTGGGAATGTACCAGTTGCATCTCGCGGAATTTTGATTAACGTCCGTCACATTGGGGTTTAGAAGGTTTAGAACATTTCATGTATTATTTTATCGGCCACAAATAAATACACATCTACGCCCATGGTCAATCACAGATGGCTTTTAGTTGGTTTGTACTTCACTGACCAGACACTGCGTAGTCTGCACACGGTCAGCAGTGACAAGCTAGTGTGCAATGAACATGCTGTCTCATTGCCAGAGACAACCAATGGCGCTTACAGTCAATGTCAACTGCACACTGCAATTCCTATTGTTAGCTTTTGAGAAGAGATACCTGTTGTCCTCCTAATATTATCCTATCCAAAAGCAGGATAATAGTAAGTTTGTCTGGTCAGCACTCATTAATTTGTTTGATATTACTGGCTTCGTAAACACTGGAAGTGTCAACTTGTGCAACTTGATGAAATCCGGGGACTCACAAGTCATTGTTTCCAGTTTAAGTCTAGTGTCGTTGCGATTGAATCATCTATTCATTGAGCAGCCATCATTACTACGCATTTTTGGATTCAAAATTCTTTTCTCAGATGTGTCTGATAACAGGCTTGCGAATGATTGTTAGACACTTCGTTGAATGTTTCCTATGTTTTCAGCACTGGACCGAAGTTTATCCGTTTGAAATGTATATCCAGTTTTTAGGATCCTGTCGAAATTCTGTTATCCACATGGCACCATTATTACACATATCGTTCCCACTCAACCATTTTCTTGCTCAAATTCTGTTTACTGTGGTTTTTCCATTGTGTATGACGAGTGATCTTTTTCTATTAAAAACAATTCCAGGGATCCTTATTACGCATGTAGTGAAAGAATCTGCAGATATGAAGAACCTTCTGACTGTTCTACCCGAAAAGTACAGGTATATCATATTTTCGTTTGAATTGTTTGCTTAGCGAAAAGGATATCGTATCAACGATGATGGGTGTCATTATCGATTACGTTCCTATCTCACAAAATCGATCCCAAAAAGTGGATGAGCAAGTTATCTGGCTCAAGTTTGAAGATCGCAACTTGGCTGGTAATTGATACCTATTCAGGTCGCTTATATTCTCAGCGGCATTGCTTCATCCTTCCCTCAGATGTCTATTGATGTTGTCGGTCGGCACGTGTAGCCACTTTTACTTTTGGGGATTAATGGTAACATCGATGGTTGCTGACCTTTCTTCAAGGATGGTGGGGAGGCCAAGTTACTTTACTGTGAACGGAACAAGAGTACAATTGATGCCAAAATCTTGCCGAGTGAATGCAGTAAGTCCGATGGTGCTCTAGCTCTTTCCAAGCCACTGACGAGGATACATTTTCAGATACTCGCCCAATCATTGCTCTTTGTGATAGCCATAAGTAAGCCAAGTTTCCATATACTAATCTCCTAGCCGTGCCTGTTCTCGGTGGCAAGTTCGTTTCGTGTCCCTGTTGAATCACAAAACCTTAAGAACACTGTGTTTTGAATCAAAAGCAGTTAAACTTGATGCAAACACAAGGTAGGGGGCGCATGTTCCTTGTATTTTTCTTTCAGATTCGTAATTGTTGGTAGAGTCGATTGTATTACTGTGCTAGCTGCCTCTACTCTTTCAGAATGTTTTACTATCTCTTGTAAGTTTTATTTGATTATACGACTTTTAGGTGTTAACTCATCAGTTTGCACAACAGTCATTTCGAAATGTGTTCCCTTCTCCTTGGGACACAGGTGGATAGCTTTTTCTGATCCCAAGGTAAATTTTTTGGCTATGACGTTTGAATCCCGTGAACCTGACTGCTGTCATTCTCTGATTTTATGATGGTACTCGAGAAACCGCCGGGGACTACATACAAACGGTCTCAATCATTAGTGAGGTTATAGGCAGCCATCAATTTCTGGTTCTCTCGTGAACTTGTTGATCTAACAGTAGACATGGAAACTATGAGGTGTAAGCGAGCGTGAACCCCGTATAAAACCACTGGGTGCGACTGCTAAGATGACAAAATTCTCCATAGACTATGGAATAAGATCGCTTCACCGAGATAATCCGTCAGATTCTCAGTAAAACAGTCCATACTTGATAATGATAAGACTCTGCTAGAACCTCTGTGATGGCAATGAAGCGCGAAGCTTACTATGAGAAATATCATTTTGGACCACTCGCTACACGTTTGGCCACGTCTGCTAGTCTTCGCAATATAGTCCAGTAAGTTCGCTTGGCACGTAATACTCGATTCGTTGATCCCAGCACACCCGTATTTGAGACAGGTCGTGAATTATGCTAAAATTCTGGGTTGTGTTTTGTCTTGTTCCGTCTTCCATAGATGTGATCACCGGTGACCATAGGCGAATAGCCGCAATCCGCGCTTCACTTTGCCACGGATTTTCCTATTAAATTGACGGGATAGTCAAAGCCCACTTTCTTTATTTACTTGCTCAGGCGACTGATGGTGGTCCCGCTGCAACGAAGCGTCGGTGCTGCCTGCCGGCCTACTGCTGATGCGTCCGACGTTATCAGATGCTACCACTATGACGCACTTGTCCGTTTTTATGGTGCTTCCGTTTACAAGAAATTTCAATTGTTGTAAGCACCGGTGAGAAGCATGTCCAACATGCCCGGATCATTTATAGGCACTTGATCTTAAATGCCACCCACTGTGGCTCGGAGGCTGTTAAAGACGAACTCTGTAATCAACTATTTTCCCTTATTCAAATGACTAGAGACAGAGACATCCCACTGATTGCCGGTAGTACGAATGCTTAACTGGTTCGTTTATCACAGTCAAGGCCCAGGTGCTTCACACCTTTTATGCTAGCCGACACGTATATAGCGGCACTGAACTCCGTCGTGCCTAGACCTGATGTCACGAAGCTGTGAACAACGAACGTAACATGCCTATTTTGGAGTCCCTAGAAGCAGCGACCACTCAGTGCTCATAGCCAGCATGGATCTACCTTTAACGGACTCCCGTCCGCTGCAAACAGCCCACAACTACTGGAAAACTGTCTTCGACGGTCCAACTCGAGCCGCCAGCCAATTGGAGTGGTCTGTGCTACAAGCTACATCTGTGGGAGATTGTTCGACCTTTATAAAAGGAAGTTACATTACTTGGTTCTCAATTTATATGACTGCACTGTCGGAAAGTTGGACCAGTCAAGTCACATTTGTTTGACTAGGAGTATGGCAAAATGGCTTAGCGGCGGCGCATGTGGGTGGAATTTCCGCTTTCCGGCTTCATGGCGTATAAATGGCAGCGAAATATTCGCAACTGTGCAAAAATAAGCAGGGGCCGATAATTTGAAGAGCAGCTTGCATCGGCTACAGAGGTCGTCCCGAAGTGAATCTTTACTTACGTAGAGCGGCGCCTGAAGCCTGTAGGTCATCTACCAGTACTAGGAGGCTCGGACGGACAGCCCCTAAGCTCCAGCACTGAGCGTGCGTACGCATTGGCGGCGCAGTTTGCTTCCGTATTTGCAACTGACCAGGTGTCTGTACCTAGTTCGATGTGTACCGCGCTTACCGAACTCCACACTCTGGTTTGTAGGGTTGAGGAGGTGCGTCAACTACTCACCAATCTTGACGGCACCAAACTTGTTGGCACTGACGGGCTCCACCCACTGATTACTGATTCTTAGGTCCCTGTCGGCTTTCATATCTGCCGTGCCCGACTTGTTTAACAGATCGCTATCCGAAGGTTCACTAACGAACAAATGGAAATGCTCAGTGGTAAAGCGGATTCCGAAAGACGACGACCCTAGTAAAGTGGAGAGTTACGGACCAATTTGTCTAACATCCATTTTTACCAAAGTTGCCGGGATGATCGTAAATTTGGGTCTACTACAGCTGCTCCAATCAAAAGATGTACTGACGCGCTCATACATTACCTGCTGGTAACGAGGCATGAATGGTTGCAGGCCGTGAACCAGAAGAAGTCCGTCAATGTAGTCGACATCGATTTTAGCAAAGCGTTTGACTAGATAAACCATGTGGTCCTCCTCGATAAGGTGAGAGTCTGTGGGGTTGTTAGATCACTATCCCAGTGTATCCGGGACTTACTTATTGGACAATATTGGAGGGTACAGCTTTACGGTCATCCGACTGATCGGTATTCCTCTACTAGTGGCGTATCTCAAGACACGATGTTGGGGCCAACTCTGTTCTTAATCCACATCAGCGATCTACGTTGGATTCTTCGGTCATCTTGTGCCCTGTTTGCGGGCGACCTGAAGATTTGGACAGTGATCACCCCAAATGACTGCAGCTTACTTCATCAAGACCTCAACCGCCTCTCCATGTAGCCTACAGATATCCGCCTCCCGATCAACCCAACCAAGTTGTGGTTGATGGGTCTTCGGAAGGGTGGTGACAGCTGAACTTACACCATCAACTGCCAGCCGATAGATCCTGTACCCTCTGGGAAGGATCTAGGTGTACTCTCACGCTGCAATTTGTAGTCCGTGGATAACAACAGACTATATTGTAACGGACTGTGTAGGCTTCGGGCACTCGAACGCAGCTTCTGTACTTCGTGCAAAGCAGTCGCCACTCTTCTCTTTCGACATCAGACTAATATTGCAGCACGGCTCGCCCGCCTACTGTCCCCTCACCTGAAGCCTAGGCATAGGAGATTCACGTGCCCATCACATTGCTACCAGGCTCATTTCGAGTTTACGAGGATTACGGTATGATAGTCGGTGCGAAAAGGTAGACCTCAGCACCTTGTCCTATCGTCGATCGCGAAGCCATCTCCTCATAACCTACTACATATTGCAATTCGGTAACTACCGCATGTTAAGGTTCCAGTTTCGCTTGCGAGCTCCATGCAGCACACGCGGCCCGTAGCCTAAAAGTAACGAGCTTGTCTTGTAATCTTGCGGTGCTGGTGCGAGCCTGCGTAGGGGCAGAGCGACCCTCGCAGTATCCTTAGCTCACGTGCAACCGGTGGTGGTTGCGCAACAGCGTAACGTCAATACTGCTTCCCGCCGTACTGCTGATGCCTTCACATGGTTGCGGCGTCGGATATAAAGTGAGTCCCCTCTGTTTCCATCGGGGACTTCCAAATGTTTGCAAGTTTGACTGATCAAGTCGTGGAGACGGTATCTGAGCAGCAGTTCAAAACGTTTTTAGGTCTCCATTTCATCATCTTTTGATTCAGAGAACCATTGCACATTGTTATATATATATATATATATATATATATATATATATATATATATATATATATATATATATATATATATATATATATATAATCACAATCCGATTACAGACAATGTGCCATCGGAACCAAGTCAAAACAACGGGGAAACGAAACCCAATGGCAGAAGACGATTTTTGGGTTTTACACACGCCGTTTTCAGATTTTTTGTATTTTTGTGTTTCATGTTCGATGAACCGTTAACTAATGGATAATGCGGTTGAACAACACTATCTCCACTGACGTCTGTTGCGCGCCATAACCTCCATCGTTTCCAACCACTGGCACTTTTAGTCGCTTAGTCCCCATCCTGGAAGACGGACCGGTTCGACGGATGCTAAGCTTGAGATTACTTTCTTCATGTTCCTTCTCTTCGTCATTGGTTGCCCACCGCGGCACTTCTTCCAGTCGCTGCTTGTGAGTACAAATGACGCTCGACGAGAAGGCGATTGGCTGGCATATGACCGAGCCAACGCATGCGGTGTCAGAGAACAGCGTTTTGGAGGCATGGGCTGTTTGCTCCAAGCACTCGGTCTCGGATTTCTGTGTTACGTGGTGTTGCTATCACACTCGATTAATCTTACGCAGACAACACTTGTCGAAAATCGACAAGCCCTTTTATGTTATCTGAGCGAATAGGCCAGGTCTCATAACCATAAAAGAGGATCGCACGGACAGACGCAGTGTACACCCTGCATTTCAGCTTGAGATTGATGTTGCGAAGAGTCCTTTATGATCGGTTGTGAGATTTCGTCTCCATTACAGCCGCTAACTGGGATGCAACTCCCTAGGTGTGTGAAGCAGGGGACTTGTTCCAGAACGTCACTAGCAATGGTGACGGCAGGCACAGGCATCTGCCAATCCTGAAGTATTATTTCACACTTGCCTGTAGTGTAATACAGGTTATACTTAGACGCCTCTATCGTTGAGCGGTTCAAAGCGTTCTGAACAGCTTGTGGATCATTCACAAGCAAATCGATATCATCATTGTAGTGTATGTCCGCGACTCTATCACCTGGAAGAAACTCAGTACCGCCGTTTTGGACGCCTTCCAATACTCATTAGACGACATCTTCAATGTAAAATTGAAGGTGAACGGTGAAATGGCAACCTTGGCCAATGCCGCTTCTGCTAACAGCAAACGGAGACGGAAGCCTGTTATAATCCCTGACTTTGCCCATTGTAGCGGTAGAGTTCATTCAGGATGGTTACAAACTTGTCGGGCACACCTTTCCTTAGTAGACAGTTCCACAACACAAATCTATCTACGGAGTCAAATGCCGTTTGGCTGTCTAAGAACATTACGATTGTTGGCTGTCGGTGGACGCGACAGAGTTCAAAAAGTTGGCGGAGTGTGAAGATTTGGTCAATGCAGTCTCGGCCCGGGCGAAGTCCATTTGCTCATCTCGGGAAATGCCCTCTAATCTCTGAAAACCTGTGGAGTAGGCTAGACACGAAAGTTTTGGACCTAACAGAGACCAACGAAATTTCGCGGTAATTGGCGCAATCTTCACGGGGCCTTTTTTGTGAATTGGGCCAATGACCGATTCTCCCCATGCAACTGGAACTTTTTCGTCACTCCAAATCTTCGTGAACATTGACAGGTATATTCCCGCCATATTTGAAGAGAGCCGGAGGTAGGCTGTCAGGCCTGAGAGCTTTATGACGTTTCAAAGATTGGATTGCGCTTCGGATCTCTACTTCCGTAGGTGGATCTGTGGAGACAGGCCAAACATCATCCGAGGGAAAAGTAGTCACAGTGGGCTGTACTGGACAGTTAAATTGCATAACGAACTGCTCTGCCCAGCGACACAAGTGCATGTGCAGCTTGATGATTTTCGTGCTGCCTGACTCCTAAATTGTCTGCCTGATAGCGTGTCAGTTGCGTCCAGTGATCCTTATGAGGTAAGATAAACTACGGAAATTTCCAGCCGATGCAGTGACTTCCATCACAGAAGCTCGTTTTGACCACCAGGATTCACGGTCAGATCGAAAGCTTGACTTCAGCTATTGAGAGACAGACCGTCGGAGTTCATTGTGCTCCGCACCAACGAGCACAGCCCATCGACGATCTAGAAGTTCCGTGGATTCTACCGAAACTAGCCTTTGGCTGTAATAATAATAAAATAATATGTCACCTGACGCCGTAACGGCGATCCGCTTCCGCCACCAGTCGCTCGAGGACGCCCGCCCCTACGCGTATGCAAACACATGACCTTCTGATTACAGGCCACGCGTGCAGACCACTCGGACACCGACCGTCGCTTTTGGCTGTGCAGCGGGTATGTCCGCAGCTGGACAAGGCGGCGAACAGCATGGCTTGTTGCAAATTTGACCAGTGTTGATCGACATCCAGAGTAGGGGAGACTGGGAATTTCACGAAGCCTCTGTTGATACTGCGTTTTCACCGTTGGGTTCTCAAACTTGTATTTGTTCTGTCTGGTTTGTTTGGCCTTGGGTGAGCCACGAAAACACTTGCAACCTGCCACACACACCGATGTATGATCGGTTTCAACACACGTTGACCAAGATGATCTGCAATCACGTATGATGCCACGCCACCTGAGACTTACGACTATGTGATACTTGTCGAACATTTTAACTGCTACATACGAACTTGAAGAACGATTGCAGTATCAACAAGTTATTATATTTTAATGGACTTGTACAGGTTCAAAGTTTCTACTTGCATTCATAATATAATATTTGGAAGCCGATTCGTTGTTTATACATGTCGTATCGGTAGTGATGACCGCTTTCTTCGACTGTGCACCAGTCACAGTCTATATATCAACAGTATAATGTTTTTGTACAAGCCCTCTCATCGAATCGCATAGCGGCCACTGCTCAACAAGCGACTCAACAGTTATTTTTGCCTCTGTAAATGGCATCTGTTAGTACATCATTGTCGGTCGATCCACATCAGTTGTCTCCATCCAAGCCATGCTCTCGAGCTTGTCATCCTGACGCTTCTTCTTATAGCCTCAGAAACTGCTCAACTTTAAAGATTCTTGCTTATCAACTGTATTCACAATCCACGAAGCAGGAATACCGACTGAGTTACTGCATCAGCTATCACTGGCGAGCGAGGGGGTTGATCACGATTGCACCATTCGGAGAGACGAATCGGAATTGACTCAGACTAGAGTGACTGAAGCGCAGCTTGCTCGCGGACAACTGCGAGGCTGGGTCATCATAATGTTCATTTGACTCCCGACTATAATGTCTGGATATAGATACACCACCCGGTTTCCTTGACTACACATAGAGTTATAGGCTTTAGATGGCGCGACTTCATTTCTGACCACCTCCCTTTTTGACAACACATCCATTTTGATCATTCTGGCTTGTCGAGCTACCTTGTGATGCCAGCTGCGTGATCCGGGTTTATTCCGTTCTAGGAAATGGTTCAGGGGCCGTGTTTTAGGACTGTTAGACACGAACTAAAGCAGAGCCTGCGCGCTGACAAGGAATCCTGGTGGACCAGTCGGGCTTAAGAAATGGAGGAGGTAGGAGCAGTAGGCAATTATCGTAGGCTCTTCCAACTGATCCACGCCATTGATCCCAGGAAACTAGGTGTGCGTGAGACAGCGATGGTGCCATAGTTCACGATACGGAGTGTCGGCTGGCTCGTTGGACGGATCATTTTCGAGAACAGTTCAGTTGCTCACTTGTTCCTGGGTCACCACTCAGATGGTTCAGGATGAGCTATGGATGGTTAGTTTAGAAACCCCATCGGAGGCTGAGGTCCGAAACCCGATCATAACACCTAGTCGTTTTCGAGGATCTGGCGCGGACTCACTCGCACCCGCACTATACAACAATGGAGGTAAAGTCCTTGCAACATATTGACGTTCATATTCGAACATATCTGGAAGGAAGGGGTCATTCCACCTAACTGGGGTGAATCAGTTATAATGGAAATAGACAAGAAGGGCAGTTTTACCAGCTACGTTAACCCTTGGTGTATCAACCTAACGCCTGTGACGATAAAGTTACTAATGTCAATTCCCATCTATCGCCTCACTGCGGAATGGGGATCTCAGAGTAGGGAAGAGCTTACAGGTTTCCGCACGGGACTTGGCTGTCGCTCTGCGGCGGGTACAAGAGAAGTGCACATGTCTCGCAGACCGACATTAACTATGATCCTGGGCGTCAAGAATGCCTTCAACTCCGTTGATTGATTTATTGCAGCAGAACCATCAGCCGCCTGATAACCTCCTGACACTTGATAGCGAGGGACTGTGGGTAGTTGATCAATTCACCTACCTTGGCAGCTGCATCAGCAACCATTGGCGCAGGACGACTGAAGTCATTTTACCCATTGCAAATATTAGAACTGCCTCTGAATCTGCGACATATGTGGCATTAGAAATGGGTATCCCCTGGTCTAATAGGGCATATTTACATGAACAGAGTGAGAGTCATCCTACTCTATGAGATTGGGACTTGACCCCTCCGATCTGAAGATCTGGGGCGCCTTTAAGTCTTTGATCATGCATGCCTGCGAAGCATTGCTGGTGTCGGATAACCTCATTGTTTTCGCAACGATAATGTGGGTGGGCGAGTGCTATGAAATGATAACCAGGCTAGTTTCTTGGAACCACAGATAGCACTAAATTGCTTTGGCCTGGGCACGTGCTACGTATGCCTGCTCATCGCTTACTGTAGAGAGCTTTGTCTTGTTTGCCAGATGCAGGTTGGCAGAATACTCGAGATGGACAAAATTTACTAATGGGAAGTGGAGTCACTGAATACACAACTGGGTGCCGTTTGTCCGTATCAGCTTTCAGACTGGAGTCCATGTGGCTTGTTTTGTGCTTGGATCAAGATGTTATAGAATATACATCACAGTTGACACCATCGGTGCCTTTACTGTCGTCTCCTAGTCGTAGGACTTGTTTAAATTGTGTTTGGTTCTGGGTTATCTGCGTGGTGATGGATGATTATGATGCGGGCAGTGAAAGCCGCAAGAAAGCTGTCTCGCCGCTGCTGTCTTATCTTTGCACGATAGCCAGCTGTTTGTGACGGTATGTTGTCTACACAAAGTGTAGACGTCTTGACCTTGCATGCTTGTCTAGGACATTTGGGTTTTACGCTCGGTCTCCGTTCTGTACCTTATCATTCTTTGATCCGTAGGTCATTTTGGTTGTACAGCAACGAAGCATCAGTTCAGATGTTTATTGTGATGGTGATGATGCTAAACTTAACTCGAAGATTGTTTATTTCGTTTCCAGCCTATCTTCCATCATCTCTCGCGATGTGGAGATGCTAGCTCAGACGAATCGGAACCACTGACCTCAACCATGCTGAACATGAACAAGGCACGTATGTATTGTGAAATTTTTCCCTCGTTACGATCATTCTTATCGTCAAAGTTATAAACATCACTTGTGATTCCCTTGATACTTGTGATCTCTAAAGTTGCACATAATATTTAACAATCAACCTAGCTGCTTTACAGCTTACCCTATGTATAGACGAGGTTCACAGTATTGTCGAGTGTACTAAACAACTCCATTGGATCTTTGGCATATCCACTATTCCGTTTCCTCTTGTTATCTTGTTTTGGGAGTTGCATTCCTGACTTCTCACATTAGTTGGATTCCAGCGGGAGAGGTGTTAATTCATTAAAGTGTTACCCACCTGAAAGCAGTGCACTCCGCGACGTGTTTTGATATTATTTAATCTCATCAGATAGAGATAGCAGGCCTCGAACCCGGGACTATTGGGATGTTATTTGAGACCTCTATCCCCTAACCCTTGAGTCACGACTGGCTACGCTTGGCGCAACAGTGGATAACTAATTGGACGATCATTTTGAACTACTCGTTGGGTGATTGGATTCCGACGCGCAATCTCAATGCAGACCGTGATTCCCATTGAACTGAACCTTAACTAATTCTATCATTAGAACTGTAACCGATAAAGCAGAAGGGTGTTGCACACCAACACATTGCGATTGCACGTCGTAATGCAGTCACACAGCGAGCACTTCAATATGACCCTCTAATCAGTCATTTGATCTTCGTTTGTGACAGCATTTTTTCTTTCGGACGACTTCGTCGCATTACCGGTAACTGCGCTTCCAGTGGAAGTAGCATTTTTGCGGTGGGTAACAAAGTTCTCATTCTGCGGTTATATAAATCCTGGGTCGAACTCACTCTGTTTTCCGAAGATGGAGTGTTCCTTCGTTCCGTAAGCATGATTTGCGGGTCCCCAGTTTGCTCTTTAGTTTTAGTTAATGCTTTCTTCAAGGCGAAATGACATCGTGGCTCGTCCACTATGGCCTGAGCATTCGTTGTTGTCAGGGCATCAGTCTTAAATTTACTTGCTGAATTAATCTTCTTAACAAGGAACTTTTTACATCATACATAAATAGGTCTGCAGCCACACTGCAGCGTCTATTCTGAGGCACTATCGGACCTTTGGTATGACCGATGTCATCTGCACGACAATCTGAATAGTTTGACACATAATCCCGTGTCTGATGGATCATACCGGGTCAAAACATCCTTTTCTTAGCTTGTGCAACACAATTGTTAATCCCCACACATGCGCTATAAAATATTTCCAGCATGGTGCGTTGCATTGCTTTGGGTTCAGCACTCCGGTACCATCCATCTTCTGAAACAGTTCCGTTACGAACATAGAGAACGGACATCCATTCTTCGGGCGTGCTCTTCTTATCTTCCGGACATCCTTTATTTGTTCTGCACTTACGTGTTGCATTTTCCTCCGTGCAATGCCACAGGTGTTGTAAATGTTCCTAACTGACGGCTAGTCGCTTTGTGAACAATAACCAAGCTTTCTACATCGGCCTTGCCGATAGGTCGTTGAACTCCACACTAACGTAACGTGTGCCTGAGTGAGTGCAACGTGAAATCACCCAGTCTTCCCCTTCGTCTACCACCACAGGTTCACGAAGGCACTTACCTCATCCATAGGTAGACACTTATTGGCTACTTGTCATCCATTCGATTTTGCCAATGGCCACAATCTTTTCAAGAAGTGCTAACGCCCTCTTCTTTCGTTTTGCCGAGGATATTGCGATCAACTGGATCAAACAGGCACTCGGTGTACAATAATAGCCTTTCGTAAGCCTATACCTCCCATGAACGTCTGGCGGCACATCTGTTCCTCATCCGGCTATATACATCTGGTTGGCGGCACCTGATTCCGGATTTGCCTGTCACTATGGCCTCCATAGGACAGCCACAGGACGCCTGCGCCTACAGAGGGACCATGGGTGGCTTGCGCTGCACCACCCACAGCTCCATCCACACACCCCATAACCAGTGTAAACCCGAAGGAATAGGATAGGGAGGCATGTGGATGGGAGCTACGTTTCATCAACGGAGCCGGTCCACGCCCCTTCAGCAAGTAGACTAGAAGCATACATACCTAATTGGGGAATCATGCGTACCAGACTTACACAAAGCAGTGGCTGGGCCGTACCCGTTCCGCGCTGGATGCATGGAATCACTCATTGGTCTAGCACAAGGCCTAGCCACAAGGACCGTTCACCCCCACTCCAGCAACGAATAACTGTCTACTGGAGCCAGGATAGACGAAGTGGAGAGTGTTACACAGGTAGGCACCTTCTCACCACTCACATCAAGCGCAACCACCTTCGGAATCTCACTCAACAGCCAGCACCTGAAGTGCAAGAATTTCAACACTCAGGCACACGTACAAACCATATGCAGCGGCGATGCGGCACACGCACCACATTGACCACGTTATTTACCTGGTTAGTTGAATCGGAAGCAGCGATCTTACCAAGCGCCGCGCTGATGATGACTACACATTTAGCATACTCCTCTTCTCTTAGATGTTGGCCCAACGTGGCGACGCTGGTGACTTACCAAACCCGATTCGCTGAGGCACTCACGACCGCATGTCATACAGCACAATGCCCTCGACGTCGATTAGCTATCTAAAATCGTCACCTGTTACTTTCTCAACCAATGTTTCTTTTCCGCATGCAGCAGTGATTCCTCTTACACCTGTGCAACCGCCCACTTGATATGTTCGCCATTGGCACCGATAAACCGCCATCGTTTCCTAACACCTGAATTAAACATTAGTTCGTGATAAACTCACTTTGAACATGTCCTGGTAACGTGAATTCGGTTTTCCTATGTGCCACTTACCAGCACGCAGTTGGCTATAAATCAACTGTTACGGTTTCCGGACCGAATCTATGCGGCGGATATGCCTGAGCCACCTTAGGTGTCTCAGAAGATGTATGCAGTCCATCGCCCCCTTCCCACTGGGGCACAGCTGTCCTGTGTCTGCAACTCTATTGCACCAATCGATGCGCAGAATCCGGCGCAGACACTATTGATTACACCGCTGCAGATATCTGACGTTCCTCCGGTACCTTGTCCACGTTTCGCTACCGTGTAGGAAAACGGATAGAACCATGTATACCAGAAGTTTCGTTCCAACACTACGCTGGTGATTGCTCCACACACGTTTCTCCATTTTGCCAAACGAAGCGGCCGCGTTCGATACGCGCATGCGCAGCTCGCTCATCAACTGGAGGGCGGTAAACAGTACGCTCCAAAGGTAGCAGAATCTCGAGGTGCTTTTCAACACCACGGCACCAATGTTGATTTACAGCAGGCACACGGCTTCCACTTCTGGAGTAGGCTGAAACAGTCACGTTTGTTTTTATGGTGATTCCGTATTTGGCCGCTGTCGAAGCGAGGATTGAAACCTATCCGCACTGTGTGCAAACCAACACAGTCGTCGGCAAACAACAACCTGCGGATTCTTGTCTCTCACACAAATTTACACAATACCAGCTACAGTGCTTCACGGTTCACCATATCTAATGCCTTGGTGAAATTTACATATCGCGAGTACAATGTCTGATGTTGCTCTCTGCATTTCTTCTGCAGTTGCCGAACTGGGAACACCATATCTATGGTTCTGCGTCCCGAACGGAACCCGCATTGCTCTTCCGCCACGTTCGGTTCAACGGTCTGAGTGACGAGGCTGTTGAGCAGGATCCGTGCGATCACTTTAGCAGCACAGCTCAGCAAGTTGATGCCATGATAGCTCGTGCAACCTAGCTTGTTTCCTTTGCCGTTGTACTGTGGCAGCACAAGGGCATCCTTCAGCTCAGCCAACACTTCCCTATCAATCCACACGCATTACACTGTGTGGTGCAGCGCATTTACCAACACGGTTCCGCCTTGTTTCAACACTTCAGGCGGGATATCATCTTTACCGGCGCATTTGCTGTTTCGCAGCTGAGCTAGTGCTCTTTGCGTCTCTTCCACTATCGGTGTGTCGGCAAGGTGTGTATTCATCTCTTGTTATTGCAGCCCATGCAACGCAGTTCGGTCAACAATTAAACGGTTGTTCAATAGACAGTCAGTTTGTTTGCGCCAGATCTGCATTCTTTCTGCAACCTGTGTTTATGCATTCCTTCATTCGTTCATTATGCACCTTAGCTGCAGGTGGAAGACACCTCAGCTATTGAACTGCAATACAAAAAGACAAGCAATAATCAGCAATGGCACATCGGCTGAGTCCACAGTAACGGTTGGATATCGTTCCGGAGAGTTAACAACCAGCTATCGTGCCGCAAAGCAGAGTAATATTATGCCTAATGAATGAGATCGTAATTGGAGGGGGAGGCTAAGCAGTATCGGATGGACAAAAAAACTCACAACACAAACACCATTAGGGCCGGCTCTTCGCCATATCAGTAAGTGTATCCAACCAAACGTGCTCATCGTCTTTAGGACCCCAGCCAGATTGTCGGGATGCACCAGCCGACGCCGTTCAAAGTGAGGGTTTTCATTTCTCTCGATCAAGTCATCGCCTAGCCTCCCCTCCTCTTCTTCTAACTGCACCCACAACGCACAAATAATGCACGTCGCGGAAGTCGGTGTGCTAGCATGCACAACACGTGGCCAGGCCATCGGAGCATGGTGTGTGATATAGTGGTGCTGAGCCGTTCACTAGCTCTTCCTGCACCAAATATGCGACACCGATCACATTCATCGCTCACGCGGTGCTCCCACCAGACATGAGCTAAGCTGCGAAGGCAGCGATGATCGAACGTGACCAGCCCCTTTATGTCTCGGCCTTATGGGCAAGGTTTCACAACCTCATGGGAAGGTTGAATGGACGGCTGCATTATAAACTGCGCTTCAGGGCGAGAGCAATGTCGCGTCTGCGCCGCAGGTGGCGGAGATTTGCAAATGCACCTCGAGCTTTTGCTATGCGGTTTGTAATCTCATCTTTGATCTCACTGGCGCTAATATAGCTGCCCAGGTACTTGAATTCCTGAACGACTTCTATCTGATCACCACCAAGGGTCAGCGCAGGGGTGGATTTTTGCCAATGTTTGTGAAAAACTTTG